GTATTTTCAGTTTTGGTCATGTAAGTGCATTTTGCAAAAGATATTCAGAGTTATGGCAAGTGTGTTTCTGTTTAGATGGCTATGTTCTTGTTTTGAAGAAATGAATTTTGATTCTAAATAGTGGGTTTAGCAATTGAGAAAAACTGTAACAGGTTAAGGTTAGGATAAGTCAATGTAATGTCCCCTGAAGTAATGTATACATCGTGTGTGTGTGTGTGTGTGTGTGTGTGTGTGTGTGTGTGTGTGTGTGTGTGTGTGTGTGTGTGTGTGTGTGTGTGTGTGTGTGTGTGTGTGTGTGTATGTGTATGTGTGTGTGTGTGTGTGTGTGTGTGTGTGTGTGTGAATAGGATGATTTTAAGATGTCTTTTTTCCAGAGATAATGGATTTCAAATTAAATTATGTCAGTGTACTCTTCTTCACGTGGGGAGTTCTGTTTGTCTTATTAAGTATTTCATTAATCTTTCAAAGAAGTAAGTAGTGCATAGTGTTTAATCCTTAACATTCTGTGACTAATAAGCAATATACATTAAATGAAGTCATAGAGATTAATAAAAAAAGGGGGGGCAACAGTTCAATCCACGTCTTCCTCCATTAAAAGGCCTGTCATATAATAAAGGATAGAGGGAAATGGTTGTGTTGGGTTATATGTGTTGGTGACAGGTTTTTTGATAGTCAACATACCCCAGGTAAATAATGCTTGTTCATTCATTTTTTTATGCAACTGCCTGCAATCATTGCTTTGTTGTGCAAGAGCAACTTAGTAGCTAACAGTTTTCTGTCTCTTGTCCTTCTTTAGGTTCCATTGCCATTGGATAAGATGAAATAAGATTGTGACTGTGTGCTGGATATCTTCAACATGGTTGTTATGATGCAAGGACCAGGAGGAATGCTACCAGGAGCTTATGTGTCCAGGACATGGACGCCTCTTCAAACCGACTCACCCTGTTTAGACATGAGAGATTAACTAAAGTCAACAGGGACGAATCAGTAAGATGCATTATCACCTTGACTACCAGCCCGATCAATAAGAAGCTCCGACTGATCTCAGCCTCTGGTCGGGCGTTTCATCAACAGTTTCTTGTCTTCTTGTAGTTGTCTTCTTGCCACTCGCAAAACATGCGTCCTTCCCTTGCCACTGCGGTCCTGCCCCCCAGGACCCGCTCCCATAACCCACCCAACCTAGCAGTTGGGGGCCGTGAACACTTGTCAGCTCCACGGAGGCGCAGCCCCCACCTGAGGCACACGCTCAGCCCGGACAACCTGAGGACTCTGGCGGAGAGAGGGGGGGCTGGCGGAGATAACGTCTCTGTCATCAGCAATCCTATCGGGCTTCCGCGGGCCAACAGTGACACGGACCTGGTGACGTCCCACAGCCGGTCCTCCCTCACAGCCTCCACTGTGGAGCACACGCTGAACCGGGGCCAGAATCTGGTCATCTCCTGGGACATCAAGGAGGAAGTGGATGCTACCGACTGGATCGGGCTGTATCACATTGGTGAGACAATTATCTATCTCTAGTTTCAGTAGAGCTACAGTTAACAGTCCTGGGGAAACTCCAGGACAAACCTCAAGTTTTTCAAGACAAATACGAGCAGCCTCAACTCCTGACGACAGGTTTGGGTCGAGTCACAGGCTTCCAATAGCAAATTGCATATAATGCAAATATGTACTAAAAATATGATAAATGAAATCTATGCGTATTCATATAAAGTCATAATAATAAGTATGCAAAGTATGCCGTTATGCATATCATTTGTTCTTTATATTCTGGGACTTTAATTGGTTTTAAATTGGTTGTTAATCTTGAGAAGTTAATGTTTCTAGTCTTACGCTGATCTGTTCACAGTGTGAGATGGTCCATAATAAAGATCTTAGAGACCCTTTGTAAAATATACATTTTGGGCATATCAAATCCTGCAATTATTCCCTTAGGAATTGAAGCATTTAGAACATTCTAGCAGAAACCAGTTATTTGTCAAACTATCCCGACGTTGGAAATCACGCAAAGTCTTGAGTCAGAGTCAGCTAACTCAGTTGTCATGAGAACTGTTCTGTTATTATATAATATATAGGAAGTACCCTGCCTGTCCTCAGAGCTGTTCAGCTGATGATGGTTTATTGTTGAGCTTAGAATAGCCGGGGTTCGTCTTGTGTAGAGCTTCCAACTCCAAGTCAATACTGCAACAGGAGCTGCTGAGACTCCACACTTTAGACTGGAGGCTAAGTCAACATGTAAGCGCTCTGCCTTGGTATACATAGCATACACAACATCACAACGCCTACACTTCTGTGAGGGGAATGGGTGGTCTCCAATAATGTATGCTTACCCTGCTTAGAGACAGGAATTTGACAGGGGGAAATACATTGACCTGTGTGCTGATGGAGGCTATCAGTCTCTAACTGTCATGCGGATCAGTGCATCGTGGTGAAAAGTAATACAGAGTACAACAGCGTACGATCAGCATATTTGTTATTAAGAATCTTTTACTTCTGTGTTCCACCAGCTTTTGTAACTTAGTCTAGCATTCAGTATTCCTTTCCTATCTTTGGTGTACTCTCCATACTCTAATGCCACATTTCCACTGCATGCTCTTCTGAACCCCACTCAGTACCTGGTACTTTTTGTAGTACCGGGTTCTGAGCCGATACTAGAAGGTGGAGTCAAAACACTGCAGACCACTGATTGACTTTAATTAAATGTATTATGCAAACAGATTAAACATAATTGTGTAAGATTAGTTCAATAATATAAAGTTGAACCTAAAATTATTTTAACATTATATAATTGCTTTCAACTAACTTAAAACAATTATGTTTAATCTTTTGATAATAATTTCATTAAAGTCAACATTTCAATATTTTCAGTGTTGTACACAGCCTGACCATTTTAATCGTTAAGCTAACAACAATAGTCCCTGCAATCTTTGTGTCAACGTAAAACTACTAAAAAGTGTTTAATTGAAGATGATGTCATAGGAGTTTCACGTGGCATCGCTATCAGCAGATAATCCTGACTACACTGGAATCCAGCCTCCTGACCCTCCTGCAGACAGCCGCTGCTGCTGCCCTCACAAATACAAGTATTCATTTGAAGACATTTATTTTTTCTTACAATGATTGAGTATGCAGAAGCAGCCGACGAACTGATCCCTTTCATTATTGCCCTCAAATAAGTGTTCCTTTTCTCTGTCACAATAGATACATATCGTAAAGGTCCCATGTCATGCTTTTCCGGTTATTACCCGTCCCCTTGTGTGTTATGAAGGTTTTTCTGCATAATAAACGGTCTGCAGAGTCACAAACCCTCAAAGTACACCCTGTAGCGAGTAAAACTCTAACACAGAAAAGACCTGTCTATGCTGCCCCAGAATGCCTCGTTGGGGATTTCTTGTTTTCTTCCTGGGTACAGTGACGTGCCCATACCCATATGGACCCATTGGTCCAAATGGACCAATCCGTGGAGCCGTTATGTTACGTCCGTGGAGCCACACACACACACTCAATCTTTTCTCAGCTGCAGCTCTGCTGATTTCTCCTCCCTGAGATGGCGGGACGCGGCGAGGCTGTGAGTCGGTGTGTGAGCACACACACAAACTCCCAGCCAGGCTGCGGGTGTTTGTGTGTTAGGGCTGGGTTTCGCTGGGTCTCGCATTCTCGCAGACGGCCACTGGGCTCACAGGGAGGGGGGGGCAGGAGCTCCAACAAGCCGTTTAGGACAGAGAGTGAATACACATGCTATACAGAGATGCTGTATGAGAAACCAATGTGAGTTTGGAACATTGAACAATGTAAATCTATTCTAGTAGACCTCAACAATGGAATTATGATCAGTAGAAATGGCCATGACATGGGACCTTTAAAAGATAAATGATAGGATAAAGTAAAAACTCTACTGTCTGTACACCAGATCATTACTGCTATAATACCGACTGTGAGCTGCTCAGCATGATGTATTGTGTTCGTAACGGATAATGGATTTCTGAATGCATTGGCTGTCTTTGACTTCCCAGAGGTCAGACAAACCTACAGTACAACACACAGGATCATGTGATACTGATTTAAAGTAATGCAGTTCATGATAGTTCGCCAAAACATGTGTTACTTTTCTGAAGACCTCACATAACAACGTTATGAAAGCAATTGTATTAAAAAAAGTAGGGGTGCACCGAATGGGAAATTCTTGGCCGAAACCGATACCGAAAATAGGAAACAGTTGGCCGAAAACCGAATGCCGAAAGGCCGAAAATGATTAATAGAAATATATATGTATAATGTATACATTTTTTACCAATGTTGTTCAGCTACCTGATTATGGAAAAAGACATGATTATGGCAAAACTTAACTTAAATAATAATCACCGTAAAACATTTATTCAGCACTTTTGAATGCATACAGTACATTAATTCCAAGTCAAGTGCATTTTCTTTTCTCTGTAGGATAACTACAACAAAGTGCATTCAGAACAAAGCCAAGGTGCTTTAAAACTGCATAAACATCTAGGCCAGTAGGCCTACAACAAAATAGTGTAAATAAAGACTGTAACAGCCAGTTCAACAACAACAAATGCACCTACAATTGTGACTATACAAATGTGCAAACTGGATAAATCCACATGAATGTAACTATTTACAAATGAAATTACAATTCAATTTCAAGAATCTGTAAATAAGGCTGTCTGTCCTCATAAGCAAAGTAGTACACATTGTATAAAGATACATAAAGTGAAAACTGGATACAAAATCCACAACCAATTACAAATTAAATTACAATTTACTAAGAATACTGCAAATAAGGTAGGTCGTGTCCTCATGAGCAATGTAAACAACATTGTATCATTTAGATACCGAAAGTACAATATATTGAACACTGTGCTGCTGTCATTTCGCCCTAATGATAACCTGAGAT